TGAGCCACCGTGCCCGGCCGCAATTTTTGTTTTTTGAGACAAGGTCTCACTCATGTCCCAGGCTGGGGCGCAGTGACATGATCATAGCTCACTGCAGCCTCCAGTCCTGGCCTCAGACAACCCTCCTGCCTTGGTTTCCCAAAGTGGGGATTACAGATATGGGGCAAAGGGTGTGGGGCTCCATGCCCTCCCTGGGTGTGCCACCCTCCAGGAACATCCACACGTTCAGCTCTCTGGAAGCTCCTGCGCCCTGTCCTTTGGGATTTTGTGGAGGGTTCATTACATAGGCATGTCTGGCAACTGTGTATTAATATAAACAGACAAAAAGTACATGATGCAAACCCAGCAAAGGCCTGTCTGTTCAGACTTTCTTGGCCTCTCTGAGTAGCATTCTTACCTCCAGGGGACAGGCAGAACCTTCTCTGGAATGAGGGTCTTCTGACCCACGGATGGGAGTCCTGCCTTGGACAGGTGAAAGAATGGAAGTTCAGAGAAAGAGATTCTGTTTCCTGAGGCCTAAAGCGCCCCAACATTGCAACAGATGAGTGTAATGAGGGTTATAGGCGTTAGGGGTCAAGAGCCTGCACTCAAACCTGTATCTACATAATCATCATCTCACAATGCTGTTCACTAGTTCAACCCAAGCTTGCTGGCAGCTGACCAAGTCTCCTCTCAGTGTGCTCAGATAACCAGGGAGTCTATCCACTTCATCTTAGAGAACGGGCTTCTGACCCGCAGCCCACCAGCCTGGCTGCTCCCAACTCCTGGGAACTGCCTTCACTGCAGAAATTTCCTCTAGCCCTCTGCTGGGTAGGATGCCTGGTTCCTGTCTCCGGGTCTTATCCGTCCTTGGTTTAATCCAGCAGTGTGCTGGTGCCGGCTGGCACAGCCATCTCTTCCCACCTCTGTCCGCTAACTTGTCTTCGTCAGCATGTAACCGGCCTTGGTGGCGTTAATTACACCAAGGACATCAGTAAATGCTAAAATCAGGGTTCCTCTCCACCTGAGAGCTGCTTTAATCCCTCCTTTTGTTGACATTCATCTTCCAGTGGCTTCCTGAGAGGTTGAATGTGCAAGAAAAATTCTGCCACTATATTCCACAGCTGAAGATATCCTTATTGTACTCCCCAACCTGATCTCAGCTGAGTGTAAAATTCTCATTTAGAATATTTGCTTTCAGGGGCCGGGTGCAGTGGCTCATGCCTGTAATCCCATCACTTTAGGAGGCCGAGGTGGGTGGATTGCTTGAGTTCGGGAGTTCAAGACCAGCCTGGTCAACAGGGCGAAACCCCGTCTCTACTAAAAACACAAAAATTTGCCAGGCTGTGGTGAAGCACACCTGTAATCCCAGCTACTCGGGAGGCTGAGGTATGAGAATTGCTCGAACCCAGGAGGTGGGGATTGCAATGAGCCAAGATCCTGCCACTGCACTCCAGCATGGGCAACAAGAGCAAGATTCCATCTTAATAAGTAAATAAAATATGGCCAGGCACAGTGGCTCATGTCTGTAATCCCAGCACTTTGGTAGGCCAAGGCGGGCAGATCACGAGGTCAGGAGTTCGAGACCAGCCTAACCAACAGGATAAAACCCTGCCTTTACTAAAAATACAAAAAGAAGAAAAAAAAAATTAGTTGGGTGTAGTGGCACGCACCTGTAATCCCAGCTACTCAGGAGGTTGAGACAGGAGAATTGCTTGAACCCAGGAGGTGGAGGTTCACACCATTGCATTCCAGCCTGGGTGACAGAGTGAGACTCCATCTCAAAATAAATAAATATATAATAATAATGGAATATTTTCCTTCAGGAAACAGCACCCTGTAGGGAGGGAGCATCTGATGACCCTCAAAGTTTGAGAGCCACTCTTAACCTTCCAATGGCCTGTCTGCTGAATCAAGAAGCCAGCAAAACTGCTGCATAAACAAATATTGAAGAATTGGATGCCATTTCAGTCACACACGCTTGCAGAAGGGCACTGATATGGTAATGCCTCCTGTACACATAGCAGAGTCTGAAGACGGCAAGGAGAGTTTGTGTCTGCTGGTACAAGACCTTGGCAGGCCTGCAAGGAGATGGCTCACATGGAAGTCCCCACGCATGTGCACTCAGCGTGACCTTTCGGAGCATCAGTCCACGCTCAGGCCCACAAGTAAGATGGCAGGAGCCCCTGCCCTTGTGAAAGCTTGGGTCACAGAGCTGCTGGTGAAGGGGGCAGGTGAAGGTCTCATGTGGCCTGTGCAATTCAGGCAGAAATGAGGACAGGTGGGAACCCACCGGGCAGAAGACAAGCTGAAAGGCTCCCAGGGAGCAGACACTTCAGGGCCCCAAAAGGCCAAGAGAAAGAAAAAAAAGTCCAGGTGTGGCGGCTCATCCCTATAATCCCAGCACTTTTGGGAGGTTGAGGCAGGCAGATTGCTTGAGCCCAGAAGTTTAAGTCCTGCATGGGCAACATGGTGAAACCCTGTCTCTACAAAATATACAGAAATTAGCTCAGTATGGTGGTGCAAGCCCGTAGTCCCAGCTATTTAGGAAGCTGAGGTAGGAGAATCATATAAGCCAAGGAGGTGGAGGCTGCAGTGAGCTGTGATCATACCGCTGCACTCCAGCGTGGGCAACAGAGTGAGACCCTGTCTCAAATGGCCAGGAGTGGAGGGGCCCCAGGCCAGGAGGTTTGGCGTGGCTGGCAGGAGCCTCGTGAGAAGGCTGTTGCTGGCAGGGGCATGCTGCTGATGGCTGTTGCGGACCACGGAGCTTAGCCTTCAGGATTTAGAGCTGGGGATGACAGGCTCAGGTGTCCTTGTTGCTGGGAGGGATGCACAGGGACGAGAATGAGCCCAGGACTCAACTCCAGCTCAGCTGGGCCCACGGTGGGGCAGTAAATGTGGGCAAGGCCCGGCTTCAGAAGAACTTGATGAACAGAAGCAGTGGTCACCGCCTGTGCCCTGGCTTCCCTGCCCTTCAAATGGTGTGTTCTGAGCTGAGGTGAGGCCCACGTGAAATTCGAGCAGGCTCTGGAGTCACCAGACATCTAGGGAAGCATAGAAGGCCTGGAAGGTCACACACAGCTGGGTGAGCCCACATGGGGCTAGGCAGGCTCAAGGAGTCCAGTCCTGGGCTGCAATCCAGTTCTCCACACAGGTGGTCCTGGAGGCAAGCTGGTTCTGGAAGTAGGTTCTGGAAATGGGCCAGTCTGGGAAGCAAGCTCTGGAAGTAAAGTGATTCAGAAAACAGGTTTCTTCTGGAAACAAGTTTTACAAACAGGTTCTGGAGACAGGCAGTTCTGAAAGCATGTGGGTTCCAGAGGCAGGTGCAAGGAGGCGGCGGGTTGTGGACGGAGGTTCTGGAAGGAGGCGGGTTCTGGACAGAGGCTCTGGAAGGAGGCGGGTTGTGGAC